GGGGGGAGTGGAGAGCAGCATGGGGGGGATGGGGGAGTAGGAGCGCGCTTCTTTGTCTTTGGCGATAATGGGCATTGTAGGGGGGGGGCGCGGGGGGTATAATGTAACGCCCCCCCCCCCCGCCGTGTGGCTCCGGCCACAGCCGCGCCCGCGCGCACGACGACGATGAGTGACGAGCGACGAGCGACGAGCGACGACGACGACGACGACGACGACGACGACGCGAGCAGCATGCAGGCGGCAACCTGCCCCACAGGGCCTGTGTACACCACAACGCTCGTGTGCACCAGCACCACAGCGCGCGTGTACACCACAGCGCCTGCGTAAACCGCAACAGCCGTTTGCGACGCAGCGCCTGTGTACACCACAGTGCTTGCGTGCACCACAGCGCCGGTGTACACCACTGCGAATGTGTAACACCGCAGCGACCATGTGCAACACAGCCCCTGTGTACACCACCATGCTTTCGTGCAGCGCAGTGCCTGTGCACACCACAGCGCCTGTCTACACCGCAGCGTCCGCGTGCACGCATCGCTGGTGTACACCACAGTGCCTGCGTGCACAGGACAGGTAGAACGAGCATGTAGGTGAGAATATGTTGCGGACATCTAAACGCAACGCCAAGGAAGTGCTGATAATCTAATGCGACGGTCTTCTCTTCTCCCTCCGCCACCTCCACCTTCTGCTCCTCCTCCTGCTCCTCCTCCTCCTCCTCCTCCTCCGAGAGGGAGGAGAAGGAGGAGGAGGAGGAGGAGAGGGAAGAAAAGAAGGAAGAGAACACAATTCCGGATCCCTTGCGAGATTGTACAGGGAACACAAAACCACAATTCCGGATCCCTTGCGGATCCCAGTGCGGGTCCCTATGCAAATCCCTATGCGGAATCCAAAGCGGATCCTCCCGCGGCGGCGACCACGCCCAGGGCAGGGGGCCACATGCGAACCCTACCTAGGGAAACGAGCTCTATACACCGACGCTTTTTCCGACCCTGCGCTGAAATTCGCACGGGAACGCGGATCCTGGTGTATACGGGATCCTGGTGTATACATTCTTCGTTGTTTCTCCAGGAGAACGGGGGAAAAAGTATGCACCACACCACCCCAGCGTCGTCGCCGACCCTCAAAAAGTCCTGGGATTGAAAAACAGCCCGCCACTGGCGATGTATACGTTCCAGTAACCCCGACTACCCCCCACGACTTCTGAGGGGGAGGGTGGGGTTCACATCGCTCGGGAGCTCCCGAACGAAGAGAACCCCGCCCTCCCCCTCAGCAGTCTTGGGGGGTAGGGCGGCAGGGCTCGCATGTGGCCACCTGCAGGGCCCAGTCGTCGGCGCCGCACAAGCCGACCTGGCGGTCGAGTCTGGCGAGCTCGCGAGCCGCGTGCGGAAGATCAGCGCCGCAGGTTCCGTCGGTCGCCGACTCGCGCTTCGACGCCTGCCTCAAGAAGGACCGCTGTTGAGGGATGAAGAAACGACCCTACCCCGGGTTACAAGTGCGTGGTCTGTAAACCTCCTGGGGGCCCTCAAAGCCTAGAGCCGACAGGACGCGGCACACATCACGCAGGGTTTACCCTGTCAGCCCACAGGAGTTCCAGCGCACAGCGCCTCGTAAACCAGGATAGGGGCGTTGTTTTGTGCCCTTGACGGTGGACGTTCGCCTCGTTGTCGTCCAGTAGCTCCGTGAAGTTCCCGCGGAGAGTGTCGAAGGGCGTGTGTGTGCGTGTGTGTACCTGCTGGGGTAATCCAAGACTGTTCCTGGTCGGTGTCCCAGTGTGTCGACGACGCCGGATGAGGTTGCACTCGTAGTAGCGATGAGCCGTCTGACCGGGCTCCGTGTTCCTTGCCCAGCCGATACGAGCCTAGTCCTTATCTGCTCCAAAGCGGACGCGGTGCGCTGGTGGCACGGCTTTTTATCACGCCCTCTGCGCAGCCACGGCGACAGGCGCCCCCGACGAATGGCGATGGCTGGGTCCCTCCTGCCGTAGACGAGCCCTAAGGACGTGGTGAGGTATCTGCCTAGACCAGTACCCGATGTTCACTGAGCCGTCTACCGTCTCATCTGTACCATTCCGTATGCTGGGACTCCGCAGTGCTGGTGTCCGTAGGGTCCTGGGAGTCCTGATCCCGTTGTCCACACGCAAGCCATTGGTTATCTCACTCTATCTGGCGTGTAGGCGCATCCACTTGCTGGCCCTACGGGCCGCAGCGGTGACTCGTTGAAGCGTTTTCTTGCGCACACGACGTTTCGTTTGCCTCCACTGCCATATGCGCCAAGGTCCACGGACGTGTCAGCTGCATCTGCTGGAGCACCTCTGTCCTCGAGCCCTGCCGCAGAGGGAGGACGACGCGGAGAACCTACAGCAGGAGGAGCTGAACGAGCGGGAGTAGGGGAACAAAAAGTGACATAAACATAGAAAACCAGAGGTCCGCGCAGATTTCTCGGATCGGCGCTGGGGCCCCCGGGCGGCGCCTCTGGCGCCGCCCCTGACGCGCTCCGCGCGCCAGGGAGGGGGGTCCAGCGCCGATCCGAAACATCCGCGCGGACCTCCGAGCTTTTATGTTGATGCCAATTTTTGTCCCCCTAGGGAGGAGCAGGACGGACCAGGGGAAGCTGGGAGAGGGGAACGGAAGGGGGCGACTGCGACGAGGAGGCACTCACATCCAGAAGCGTGGCCCGCGCCGGGGCGAGGGCGCCAGTCTCTGCACGCCGGGGGCGAAGCGCCGATCTCCAGGTGCGGCCGCTGGCCATCGCTCGGACGTCCATTCCCTGCATTTGCTTCGGTTTCGTGCGCGGCTTTTTCGCCAACTGATCAGGGATGCTCCTCGATGGTCCTCGCCGAAGGAAAGATGCACACGTCCGAGCGATGCCAAGGCCAACGCTGCAGCGGGGGCACCGACTACCAACAACCGACAACCGACGACGACCGACGACGACGACGGACGACCAACGACGACGACGACGAAGACGAGGAGGACGACGACGACGACCGATGACGGCCGACGACGATCAACTGACAAAACAGCTGGTACCATTTCTGCGCGAAAGTCAACCCGCGGAGGTGGGCGCGCCACTCTCGGGACGTCTTCGAAGAGAGCGAGGGAGACTAGGACTTCAGATTGCGGCTGTGAGAGAGGACGGATGCGAAACCAAGCTTTTTCAACTAAAAGATCTCCTCGCGGCCATGCTTGGTTAATAGATGCTATGGTTGTGCTGTGGTCCGATCACAAAGACATTTGCAGATGGTCCTGCAGCCGATTATCTTGTCAGGCCACGCGGCGGTGCTGAAACGAAACGTGCGCGATGGACTAGACAGGCACCTGCGAAACAGGAGAGGAAAAGGAGGGATATCGCTACTCCCCAGGGTACGTTTTGACTAAGATTTCGAGGAGGGTGCAACCGTGGCGACGAAGGTAATTCAGGACGAGCAGCGGCATCGGCAGCGGAATCGGAACCTTCTCCTGCTACGAGATCTTCTCCTGCTCCTAAAAGGAAAAAGATGATGATGATGATGATGATGATGATGATGATGATGATGATGATGAAGGAGGAGAAGGAGGAGGAGAGAGCAACAGGAGGAGAAACAATGAAAAACTGGAGGAAAAGGACGCGAGAAAAAGACAAAGAAGAAGCAGAAGCATAAGACAAATAAACATAATAATAATAACACTGGGAATAGGAATACGAATAGTAATAATATTGAACATACTAATAAGTATTATAATACGAATGATAATAACAACAATAATAGCACTGGGAACGATACTAATAATATCAATAAGAATAACAATACTAACAATACGAATGATGGAAGAAGAAGAAGAAAAACAAATAGAGAGACGAATACCGCTTCGATCGTGCCGGAATTCCGGGACCTCGCGAAAACCCACTGGCGGATCCGTCTCCGCCACGGGCTCGGGGACGGGCGAGCGGGCGGCGCGGTAATGGACGAGGTCGAGGTCCTCGGGGAGGAAGCCGCCCGCGCCGGCCCCAGAAACCCGAGACCCTCCGTCATCATCATCATCAGAATCCTCAAAATCGGCGTCGTCGTCGACATCACCATCCCCACCATCCATCATCCGCCACACATCATCCATAATCCATCATCCATTTTCCGTCGCACATCACCATCATCAACATCGTCCTCACCATCATCACCATTACCGATGTTATCAGCATGGGCATCACCATCGTCGTCGTTATCATCATCATCGTCGTCGTTGTCGTCGTCATCATCGTCACCACCATCATCCATCCATCGTTCATCACCCATCATCCGGCATACATCTAATGGAGAAAATGGTGCATTGCACTCCCGCCAGGACGCCCAGACACTGGCCGGACTGCACGAGCTTCAGGACACGCCGCAAAACCGAAAGCCCGAAGAGATCACCCTCTGGCCCCTGCTAGATGTCACACGTGTAAACCTTGCAGCGGCAGCGTCGCATGCCCGTGCTCCAGACCTCGGACACTCAGAAGAGTTCTATATAGAACGGCTGGCAACCCAACAGGCGGTCCGCTGATTTGCGCTGACATTGGCGCTGAAGTGCCGCGCGAGCATGTCGGGCCACGCGCCCATGGCCGATGCGCAGTACAGGCGCTGGCGGAAGCGCAGGTGGCTCCACGTCTTCTGCAGCAGGTTCGGTGTCCCGCTGCAGCGCGGGCTGCTGAGGGTCTGCCTGCCTCGTTTTTTACCACGACGTCCAGGTCGACGTGGCTCACCAGTTCTGCATGGACGCCGCGAGCTCCCAGCGCCTGCGCCAGCGTGAGCCTCTTGGCCCTGCATGGCCAGAGGTACGCGTCCACCGCCATGACCCGCGCAAGGTCCACTTCCGGACCGAACGGCAGGTTGGTCGCCGCCGTCTCGGCTGCGCTCTGCATCGCGAGCCCAGAGTGGACGGACGCCCCAAGGCAGGGGCCGGCGCGTCCCAGCGCACGCCGCGGCGTGCACCAGGTCGCGCCCACCGCGGCCAGAGGCGACTGCAGTCGCCTCCAGCCGCGGCGGGCGCGGCCCGCCCGCGGCAGAGGCAGCCGGCCTTGGACGCGGCAGCCCGGGAGGGACATCGCGATGGCGGCGATCGTTCTCGGCCGAAGAGGGCGCCCCCCTCCCCGAGCAGAAGTGGCCTTAGAACTATGCGAGGCGGGCGTCGAGCACGCGGGATGCCAGGACCATGCTCGAGAGAGATGCCACGGAAGATTAAAGAGGCTGACGACAACTGGTTGCAGCTGGCGAGGGCCCGCTGCTGCGCGGCCGCATGCGCGGGGATGCCCAGCTGTTGCGCGGCGTCGGGCAGCGGGCCGCGGCTCGGCCGCCGCGCGCGCGCCTGGCCCCGCCTGCCGACGCCGAGCAGCGCCGCCCGGGGCTCTCCAGCGGCGCGCGCGCCGACAACGGAATCCTTCAGCAGGCTCGGCAGCTCGCCCATCGCGAGGGGCGGCGCCGCCTGCGCCCCGACGCTCCGCGGGGGCTGCAGCCGCGGTGTGCGCGGGTCGTGCGGCGGCCGCGCAGGCCGCGACAGGGCTGCCCTCGCGGGGGCCAGGCTGGCGCTCGGCCGCGTCGGCCGCCGCGGCCGCGCTCGCCGCGGAGCGGTCGGTTCGGGCAGCGCCGCGACCGGGGCCTGCGCCGTCGGCGGCCATGTGCGTCGCCCGCTCGAGGCCCCTCTGGCGCGGCGAGCGCGACCGGCAGCGGCTGACCCCGCTGTCGCAACCATCGGCCCAGCTCATCAGCTAAGCTCGGAGGGCAACCATCGACAGTGGACGACAGTGCCAGTCAGCAGAAGGAGGGTCGGCCAACGTCGCACACTGTCGAGAAGCCTGGCATCTGGGGCCCGGCCTTTGGACAATACAAAATCGTCCGAACGAGCTCAAGATTGCTACCGAGAAAGATAACGCGTCGACGAGAGGATCGCACAGATGAGCTCGAATTGCTCCAGCCACTCCTCGGGCCTCTTTACGGCGCGCGGCCTCGGGGCCCCCCATGGCCCCGCGACGCTGGAAGACCCAGTGGGGGGCCTCGATGCGCGGGGGGAATCTCGGGGAAGTTCGGACCGAGGTCGCCAGCTCTGCGCATGTCGTCGATCGATCGCGCGCCCCCGCCCTCGCCCCCCAGCTCCTCCGCGCCCCGTCGCCCTGTCGCGCGGCCGATAACATCCCACATCAGAACGCGCACGTCGACGGCGCCATCTCTCCTGCCACCCCCGATCGCTCGACGAAGTCGATCGGAAGATCGGCGACGACAGAAGCGCGACCAGTCTCGGGCACATCGGTAGCGCGAACGGTCGGGGACCACTTGGGATCGAGACTACGATGGGTTAGAATGAGGATGCCCCGGGAACCTTCAGCGCGCGCCTCGCAGACTCCCGAGGAGGCCCCCGCTCGACGAAGCCCGCGCGCATGAAAGCGCACGATGCGCAAAGGAGGTGCAAGCGACCCGCGGCGGCCCGGGGCGCAAGAAGCACAAAGCCCGATGAGGTGCTCAAGCTCGCAAGCTCGCTGCCGGCGGCTCGGCACCTCGCGCCCAACAGACACTGAATGCCGAAGTGCAATCTCCAGAACCGCCGGTCGGCCAGCTGCACCGTGGGCGGCAAGCCTGGGGGCCTAACCACGAGCGCGCCCGCGCCCTGCGCGGCCCCCCTGCTCGTCGCGCACGGGGGGGCCCTGCAAGGTGAACGCGCCAGTGGATTCGCGCCCCCGCCCAATCTCCTCAAACGAAATCGCGCCCACGAGGAGGGCGTCGTCGACGCGCGCGGGGCGCGCCGGGGCCCGTCGCGCTGGCGGGGGCGGTCGAAAGTCAACGGCGGACGGACGCGAACGGGGAGACGGGCGGTCGTCCAAGGCGCGCTCGCGCGCGCGCCGTGCCACATGGAACGCATCGGCGCTACCGCCACCTGCAGATCTACGAAGTCCCGTGGGCCGACTGGACGGCCCAGCATCTGCGCCGCACCAGTGGCGACAGCCGAGCGCGGGTCGGAGGCCGCCGCCCTTCCTGGCAACGGAAAACAGGGCGAAGTCTCCCCGGCGGCAAGCCCCGGGCGGAAGCGCCCTGGGGGGGCCGCCGCGCGCCAGCTCACGGCGCGCGTTCGAATGCGCGCTGAGGACAAGATCCATGTAGAGCACAGGCCGCCGCTGTCTCGACCACCCCCTCAGACTCGAGCTGCGGCAGCAGTGACGAGTAGTCACCATCCAAGTGGACTGGCCCCGAGCGGTCAGCCCGTCAATGCGCCATTCGGGTCGGTCGCCCACATCAGGCCGAGATGCCGGGCGCCGCGCGCAGGATCGCAGCGGCGTAGCCCCCAGAGTAACCGAGGGGGCCCCCACAAGCTGCCCGAAGGGGTGGCGGTGTTTTGCGCGAAGCCACGCCACCCGTTCGCAAAGCGCCCTGCGCAAAGGCGACGCGACCGAAGGGGCTCTGGTCGACGGGGGGGTAGCCTGCCATCAGGTTGGTTTAGCGCGTCGGTCACACACTTCGCACGCATGGAAACACATGCGCCAGATCCCATGCTGCGGCCACCCAGCCTCGCGCCGGGGTCGCGCGAAAAAGCACGCGAGAGAGGCGCCGTCTCCAACGCGATTGGCCGCGGCAAGATGAATTATGTGGCTCTCTGGTTCGGGCGCCCGCTCGCCGCGCGCGGCCCCCGTTGAGCTCGCCCCTTTTGGCGAGCAGTCCTCGTCCAAGTCCTTGTCCTCGGCCTCGATCTTCTCCCTGGTGGCGTCACCGCCCTCGCCCCGCCTGACCGCCTGCCCCTCGCAGAACTTTGGGCGCTGCCCGGCGATCTCGACCTCCTCGGCCAGCAGCTCAGTGGCGCGCCGCGCCAGCGACGGAGCCATAGCGATGCCGCGCCGCGTGGCACCACCCTGCTCGCATCCGATGTAGTACTCGAGGCCCTCGGTACGCATGCAACCTTTCGTCTCAGCGACCGCCTGGCAGGCTCGGGCGCCCACCGCCAATGCAAGCCAAGTTTGACCCATCAACCCGATCATACACTACACACAAGAAATTTGACAGACCCAAAAGGTCGTGGAGGTGGCCCGCCGTGCAGTCGGACTGGAGCGACTCCAGGGCGATGCACTTGGTGTGACGACCAGCAGGCGTGCCACCGTGATCGGTGATGTAGAGGGGAAGCTGTCGGGGGCCTCTTCACGCAGCTCCAACACGCCGGCTCGGTAGCCGAGATGCCACTGGCCGCGCGAGTCGTACCGTGGGGGGCCCAGCGTCCTCGAGTCTCCGAGGCCCGCCTGGACCACCAGCTGCTCCACAGGCAGATCCGGGAGTCTCGCCGCGATGCGCTTGCCACTGGGCCGGGTGCAGATCGCCCTGTCGCCGCCGACGAGAGCCGTGTTTTCGAGCCCCACCTCATCATCGCGAGGTGCATGAGGAGGTAGTGGGGTGGCCGTGCCAAAGACGTGATAGCCGACTTGGTTGGGCACAGGAGGCCCGTCGTGCCCGCCACCCTCGGCCCCCGCCTCCAGTGCGCCCAGCTCCCGTTCGGCTGGGAGCGCCAGCATGTCACTGAGCGGCACCCGTCGACCGTCGCATTGGATATACTTCAGGTCGGCGGGGTATGGAACCACAATGCCAGACTCGACTGTCTGTCTTACGGCCTCACCGATCGACCCCCTTTGGTCGTCATCGGTCGTCAACGGTTGGGAAGCATACAGTATCCTCGCTGGGATGATCGGGTTGCCGACAGCGCCGTCCAGAATGCTTTGCTGCCCCAGCCCAGGCCCGCTGCGATGGCCTCCGCGTGGAGGTCGCCGCCGGGCGCGCAGACGAACCATGGCCTCGAGACGGGGTCGCTGACCCAGGCCACAGCAAGACGCGCTTGCGCAAATATTCGGGATCCCCTGTGCAGAACACAGCCACGTGCAGCCAGGCCGCCAGCCTATCGCACCACTCCGCCACCCCGACGGCTCGCCCGTCTGGGCTGAAGTACTTCGCTCGGCTGCCGGCCAGGCTGTGGGTCATCTGGCCGAGCTCGGCGACCATGGCTTCGAGCAGGCCGAGCTGCGACGCCGCCTCCTCGCAGGAGGCGCTGACCTCCTCGGAAACGGCCTCGGCTCGCTCCACCGCCTCGGCCGAGAAGCCCGGCACAGGCACCGGGGAGAGTCTGGTCACTAGCCCCCACAGGGCGGTGACAAGCACGGACCTGAGCGTGGGCTGCATATACCTGGGCACAGAGATCCTGCGGGAAAGCCAAGGAAACCTCTTTGACCAAGCTGCACACTGAGCCCGCTCTATTTATCATTCCTCGCCCTCCTCCTCCCTCCTCCCGCCCCCCCCCTCCTCCTCCTCCTCCTCCTCCTCCTCCTCCTCCTCCTCCTCCTCCTGCTCCTCCTCCTCCTCCTGCTCCTCCTCCTCCTCCTCGTCCTCCTCCTCACCTTGTTGTAGCATTATTGTTATTATGCTGGTGTTTTTTGCACACACGAATACTATTAATATCATTATTCTTACGTGTCTGATGTTTCTTATTGATGTTATTCAAAGTATCTGTCTTACTAGTATCCAAATAGGCTTGCCCTATGGGAGTCGTTGCTCAAACCCTACTCATTGGTCCGTTGCTCCCCCCCCCCTGCTTCCTATGCCCCCACCCCCTAATTCCGATGGCTATGCCTATGACTATGCCTATGCCTCCCCCCTAACTCCTATGCCTACGCCTATGCCTGCTTGCTTGCTTGGTTGCTGTCTTGCTTGCTTGCCCGCTTGCACGGTTGCTTGCTTGCTTGTTTGCTTGCACTCTTGCTTGCGCGCTTGATTGCTTGCTGAGTTGCGGGTTATACGCATGCTTGATTCCTCAGATCCCTGTAATTAAAATCGTCTAATATATTTGGAGTAAACGCTGGTTGACAGTATTCGTATGAGTATGATCAGCATGATTCGTATTACTATTCTTCTTAGTATTAGTAATCCCCCTCCTCTTTTTAATATTAGTGGTCTGTGTATTGTTATGTGTAGTACGAATCCTGTGTTATCATGTTTGGTGTTATTCGATCAGTCATATTACTATTACCCCGCGCACACCCGCTCTAAAAAGTTGCGAGAGCTTCACGGATTGAGGGCGGGCCGTTTTCAAAATGTGGCTCTCGCTTTAGCGCCGCGCACATTCGTTTTAAACAGTTGCAAGAGCTTCATTGAGAGCTGACCGTTTTCACAATGTGGCTCTCGCCTTTACGCCGCGCACATGTATTCAAAAATGTGCAGGAGCTTCAAGGATTCAGGGCGGTTCCTTTTCAAATTCTTATTCTCGCCTTAACGACGCGCACATTCGTTTTCTAAATTTGCAAGAGGTGCACGAGAGGTGACGCGTACAGCGTACCAGAGATTACGCTTTGGAAGAACTCTGGATTATGAGGGCCCAACAGTTACGTTTATTCGCGGTGCTGAAGTCCCAGGAATAGCGATCTGGCACGATTCAGCATCGTCAAGACGAAACAGTCAGGTTGATCCGTGGCGTTGGAATCCCGAGAACAATGTTTTGGCATGCTTCAGGGTATCCAAACAATTGTCCTCCAACGAAGCAGTTCCCTTAGTGGCATTGAACGGCTGCAGGGGCCTATGAAGGGAGCTTGGAGGAAGATTTTATTTCAGCATCGTTGACGACTCTTGGGTTAACACTGGTCCTTCTTCTCCGCCTCCTCCTCGTCCTGCTCCTCCTCCTCCTCCTCCTCCTCCTTCTCCTCCTCCTCCTCCTCCTCCTCCTCCTCCTCCTCCTCCTCCTCCTCCCACCACCCAGCGACCGATCCTCGCCGCCGCGCCAGCGGCCCGCATCCGCGGCACCCGGGCAGCGCCCGCAGCGCGACGGGTAGGCCGCGTCCCCCATGGTCTCGGCCCACCTGCGCCCCGACGGGCAAGAGATAAGGGGAAGGAGGAGGAGGAGGAGGAAGAAGAGGAGAGGAGGAGGAGGAGGAGGAGGAGGAGGAGGAGGAGGAGGAGGAGGAGGAGGAGGAGGAGGAAGGGGAGGAGGACGAGGAGGAGAAGGAGGAGGAGCAGGAGGAGGAGCAAGAGCAGGAGGAGGAGGAGTGTCAAGTCGCGCGCAGGCCCCGCCGGGCCCTCCCTCCGAACCCGCTGCGCGGCGCCAGCGCCGACGGCCGCCGAGGGAGGCCCCGCGCGGAGTGCCTCCCAGAGGTGGCGCGGAGAGGTGGCCCATCTCGGCGCCCACATCCCAGAGCCTCGCCATGTGTTCGGGTGTTGCTAGAAGTGCCCCTGGCCCAAGGTGCCCCCAACTTTTCGCTCCATTTTGGAGCCCCTGGGGCCCCCTGGGCCTCGTGAGGGGTGCCCTGGAGGCCGTCTGGGCCACCCCGAGAATCCTGGGGGTATCTTGGGCCAGGGGTACTTCTAGCAACACCCGATGTGTGCCACGTGCCTGGGAGAGGCGCCAGCACGCACGCCCTTGGTGCGGCGCGGGGGGCCCAGGAGCTCGAGCACACCACATCGACTGCGTGGCAGCGCAGTGCGGAGCGCCCGACGGCCTGACCAGCGGGGCACTGCTTCGCACGGTGGACAAGCGCGCGGAGGCGCAGGCAGCCTTCGATGCAGCGGGGGCCGCGGGCGCGCGTGCTGCGGCGCAGCCTTCCGGAGCGGCCTCGCAGCCCGCACGGCCCGCAGCAGGGTCGGTGCAGCCAGATGCAGCCAGGTGATCTCCTGGATCGGCGCTGACCCTCGCGGGGGAGGGGGAGGGGGAGGGGGAGGAGGACAAGCTATGTGCGCTCGCGTCATATCTGACGTCCTACCCCTCCCTCCCATCCCTTACCATGGCGCTGATTTTCTCTATCCGCGGACGCGTGTCGTAGCGGACCTGTGGCTCCGCGCGCGCGTGCGTAGTGGGTGGTGGTGCGCGTGCGTGCGTGCGTGCGTGCGTGTGTGCGTGGTGGTGGTGGTGGTGGTGGTGGTGGTGGTGGTGGTGGTGGTGGTGGTGGTGGTGGTGGTGGTGGTGGTGGTGGTGGTGGTGGTGGTGGTGGTGGTGGTGTGTGTGTGTGTGTGCGTGTGTGCGCGTGTGCTGTGGTGTGACGTGGTGTGGCGTCTTGGTGGTTTGGTGGTGGGCCAGGTGCGTGCGTGCGTGATGGCGGTGGTGGTGGTGGCGGTGGTGGTGGTGGTGTGTGTGCGTGTGTGTGTGTGCGTGTGTATGTGTGTGTGTGTGCGTGCGTGTGTGTCTGTGTGCGCGCGCGTGTGATGTGGTGTGACGCGGTGTAGCGTGGTGGTGGTGGGTGGGGTAGTGGGGTGGTGGTGGCGGTGCGCGTGCGTGCGTGCGTGCGTGCGTTGGTGGGTGGAAGTGGCGGTGGGCGGGGCGGGGCGCGGTGCGGTGGTGGCGGGCGGATGGGCGCGCGAGAAAGAGGCCCGCGCTGGGGCGAGAACGCCATCCTGAACGACGGAGGCAAAACACCGATCCGAAAATGAGACCCACGCTGCAGCGGGAGCACGATTCGGAACGAGCGGGGCCCGAAAATGAGGCCGGCGCCTCAGCGAGAGCAGCATTTTGGAAAAAATGCAGGCGAAAACCCAACTCCCGGGAATCCTGTGTGTAAAAAAGCAGGACGCGGGGGGGGGGGGCGAACACTCCCAGCACGTCATCAGGGGAAGGAGGAGAGTAGTATTCATATTGAGTAATTGTGGAGGAAGAGGAAGAGGAGGAGAGGAGGAGGAGGCGGAGGAGGAGGAGGAGGCGGAGGCGGAGGCGGAGGTGAAGGAGGAGGAGGAGGAGGTGGAGGAGGAGGAGGAGGAGGAGGAGCGGACCGCGCCAGGGGCGGCGCCGCGCGCGCTGCCAGGCGCCTGGCGCTCTCAGATCCGAGAACTCCGCGCGGAGCTCCGAGAGCGCACCCTGATGCCGTTTTCTTGCAGGGGCCCTGGGACACACAGATAAGTAGACACACAAACACCAGGATTCCCCCATACCTTCCCATAGTTTCTCTCTTTTCGTCTTCCCCCCCCACCACGTCCCGCGTTTGCCCGCATTCTCGGGGGAATCGACGATGAATTGTGTCTGTGTCTGTGTGTGTTTGTCCCCCCCTCCTGAGTTCTGCTCGGCCCGAGGGCGGGCAAATGGCCTGGGTCCGCCGCGAGGGATCTACGACAAACTACATCGGAGCAGCCATGTGCTTTTCGGACGCTTGCGAGTAGGCACGCTGCGAGCAGTGGAACGCGCTCGGTGATTGATGCCGTTTTGCTCGGCAAGAGGGCGGGCGGGTTGAGCAGGGACCGATCGTCCCGGCATTCCTGTAGTCCTACCACGCAATGTTCTTAGAACCACAAAATGTTCTAAGAACCAAACCAATGTTCCTAGAACATAAACCCGATGTGATAAAACAAGACAGCCTCCGCCAGAAATGTTCTAAGAACATTTCGTGGGAACCACAAGCGGTTCTTAGAACATTGCTTGGTGGGGCTGTAGGCGAGCCAGGACGCTTCGCCACTGCTCGGCCCGAGGGCAGGCGGGGCGCCGCAGCACGTTCTCGGCGTGCCGGCGGGTCACCAGGTGCCGGTCGTGCTCCTCCTCCGCGGCATTGGGGGGGGGGCGGCGGCGGAGGGCGAGGAGAGCGGCAGCAGCTGCAGGGAGCCCTGGGACACACAAATAAAGACACACGAATGTAACAGGATGCCCCATATTTTCACAGATTGTCTAGGCTTTCGTCTTCCCCCCCACTTCCCATATATTTTCCCATACTTTCCTGGGAGTCGGCGATGACTTGTGCCTGTGTGGTTCTTTCCCTCCCGAAGAAGCGAGGGGGCGGCCACGGCCGCGGGGGGCCGCGCGGGAGGGCGGCCGGGCCCCCCCCGGCCTGCGACGGGCCCTTCACCCCCTCCCACCCCTTCGGTCGGGCGTGTGCTCCTGCAGGCGGAGTTTGGACGAACAACGAAATAGGGAAATCTACTCCATACACCGACGCGTTTTCCGGCCCCGCACCGAACTTCGCAGAGGAGAGCGGAGCCTGGTGAAAACGGGGCTTTGGTGCAGACCTGTTCCGTTCTCGCCACGGCCCCCGGCCTGCGACCGGCCCTTCACCCCTCCCACCCCTCAGGTCGGGCGTGTGCTCCAGCAGGCGGAGTTTGGACGAACAACTAGGTAAGGAAACGAACTCTATCCACCGACGGGTTTTCCAGCCCCGCACCGAAGCTCGCACAGGAGAGCGGAGCCTGGTGAAAACGGGGCTTTGGTGCAGACATGTTCCGTTCTCGCCACGGCCCCCGGCCTGCGACCGGCCCTTCACCCCTCCCACCCCTCAGGTCGGGCGTGTGCTCCAGCAGGCGGAGTTTGGAGGAACAACTGAGTAAGGAAACGAACTCTATCCACCGACGCTTCTTCCGACTCTGCGCCGAAGTTCGCACAGGAACGCGGAACCAGGTATATACGGGATCCTGGTGTATACATTTTTCGTTGTTCCCCTGAGAAAACGGGTGAAAAGTATACACCACACCACCCCAGCGTCGTCGCCGATCGGGGATCTTCTGACCCGGGTCAATCCAGACCCGGGTCAGCAGGAAACCAAAAACTGCAATGCAGGAAACAAAAACTGCAACGCAGGTCTTCGCAAACCCGGGTCAGCCAATATGTGCGGCCGCCTTGCGGCCACGAACGGCTCGCTAACCCGGGTCAGCCAGAGGGGGTCTTCGCAGGATCCTGCAGGATCCGGCGCCCTGGCTGACCCCCGTTTGCATTGACCCCCGTCTCAAGGCTCCCGAGCCGACCCTCAAAATGTCAGGCCGGCCCAGGGGGGGGGGCATCGACGTGGCATCGGCGGCACATCGCCCACAGGTCGGCGACGGGCCCCCCCGAGGGTGGCGCCGCACGCTCCTGGGCGGGGTGGGCCATCGGGCCCCCCGTGACAGACCGGCCACTGGGGGGTCGGTGCGCCCCCGCCGAGCCCCGACTTTGCCCCCAGAAGGAGAAGCTTTCGGTTATGTCGGGCGTGTCCCCCTTACGGGGGAATCTTCGACGGAAAATGAAAGTACCCCAAAAATGCCCCAAGGTAAAAAACAAATAATCCCCAGACTATGTTTGGACATTTTTTTACTATTTTGGGGGTATTTTTTATTTTTCGTCGATAATCCCCCTGTAGGGGGACAGGCACGACTTAAGCTTTCGGGCCCCCGGCGGCCGCTTGTGGCGCAGCCGCTGAGGAGGCACTGCGACGCTGGAAAACATCCGGGGACCAACGGACCCCCCTCAAGGGGCCCAAGGACACACAAATAAATACACAGATAAAAGGATTCCCAATATTTTCCTACATTTTCTGGGTTTCTGTCTTCCCGCCCAATTCCCATATTTTCCCATATTTTCTGGGGAATCGACGATTAATTGTGTCTGTGTGCGTTTTTTCCCCTCCTGATCCCCGCCGAGACCCCCGAGGAGCCGCCCGCCCCTGGGTCTCGGCAGAAGCTCGTCTCCCGACGCTCCGGCAGAGCCCCCTGTGGCGCAGCGCCGCCGCTTCCGCCAGCAGTCAGGCTCGACCTCGATCGAGTCGCGAAGTCGGACCAGATCCGAGACAGATCGGATCGCCAGCGGATCGATCGACTCACATCGACAGCAGGTCACCGCGCCCGGCCTTCTGAGAAGATGTCTGGGCCTCCTCCGAAGACACAAACGGCTTCTCAGAAGGCGGGAGGGCTTCTGAGAAGCCCCGCCGCCTTCTGAGCAGCCCTGCCACCCCTCGGACGCTCGGCGGCCTCTGGTCGGGCGGGACTTAATGGGGGGGTCACAAACGGAGGGGGCAGAAAAGGTCCCCTTTCGTGCCCCTTTCGTGCCCCTCCAGAGCCCCAGGGGGCTCGTTTAGATATTTGTTGGGTACCTTTTCGGACCACCCTTGCCACCCCCCCATTTATGACCCCCCCATTACGCGGCGCCCAATCGGGGTCACAACTCGGCTCTCCGGCGGCCGCTCGGGGCGATCCGGGCACCTCCCCGGAGCTCTCTCGGCGAGGCCCAGCCGCTGGAACGCAGCCCGAGGCTGGAACACCGCCGGGAGCCGACGAGGACGCCCGAGGAGCTCGAGCCTCGCAGCTCGAGCTTCCCCCCAGGGGCTCGCCGCCGACCTCTGCGCGGGGGGCGGCGGCGGGGGGCCGGGCCTTTGGCGAGGCGGCGGCGGCGGCGGCGGTCCTGCGCCCAGGCCTCCACCTCGCAGAGGTGGCAGAAGAAGGGCCCGTGCGGGGGCCCCTGGCGGGCGCGTCGGCGGAGAGGCGGGGAACTCTGCCCGTCGGCCGGAAGAAGTGGGTAGAACCGTGAAGTGGGAAGGCGCTGGAAGCAGACTGGGTCTCCTCCCGCCCCCCGGAAGAGGAGGAGCGAGGGCAAGTCACTCGACTGTTGAGGTAGGAAGGCGGCCGTGGGATCTGAAAATCCAGAGATACCTACGAACGTTCGACGACCGACGGGTACGCCTCCCAAATGGGGATCAGAGGATTGCGTCGACGATGAGGCTCGACGTGGAACCATCTTCTCCACGCCGACATCGCCGATGCACCGTCCATGCGGCGCGAAATTCCGAACCCATCTACTCGGACCCCCATGTGGGAGGCCTCCAGGAGGAGATAGCACGCTCGGAAGCAACGCCTAGGAGGTCTTCGCATCGAGGAACAGGGCTGAACCTAAACGGTGTTTTTCGTTTTCGTTTTGTTTTCGTATTCCCTCGTTTTTGCCTCGGATCTGCCTCTAATCATCATCATCATCATCATCATCATCATCATCATCATCATCATCATCATCATCATCATCATCATCATCATCATCATCATCATCATCATCATGATCATCATCATCATCATCATCATCATCATCATCATCATCATCATCATCATCATCATCATCATCATCATCATCATCATCATCATCATCATCATCATCATCATCATCAGCAGCATCAGCAGCATCAGCATCACCATCACCATCACCATCACCATCACCATCGCCATCACCATCACCATCACCATCACCATCACCATCACCATCACCACCATCATCATCATCATCATCATCATCATCATCATCATCATCATCATCATCACAATCATCATCATCGTAATCATCATCAGCAGCAACATCATCATCAGCAGCATCATCATCCTCAGCATCAGCATCTGCATCAGCATCATCATCGTCATCATCATCATCTTCATCAGCATCATCATCATCACCATCATCATCATGATTTTCACCATCAGCATCATCCGCCTCCTCCTCCTCCTCCGCCTCCTCCTCCTCCGCCTCCTCCTCCTCCTCCTGCTCTTTTTCTTCCTCCTCCTCCTCCTCCCACTCTTCCTCCTCCTCCTCCTCCTCATCATCATCAGCATCATCATCATCATCATCATCATCATCATCATCATCATCATCAGCATCATCATCATCATCATCATCATCATCATCATCATCACATCATCATCAGCATCATCATCATCATCATCATCACATCATCAGCATCATCATCATCATCATCATCATCATCATCATCATGAGCATCATCATCATCATCATCATCAGCATCATCATCATCATCATCATCATCCGCCTCCTCCTCCGCCTCCTTATCCTCTTCCTCCTCCTCCTGCTGCTCTTCTTTTCCTCCTCCTCCGCCTCCTCCTGCTCTTATCATTCCTCCTCCTCCTCCTCCTCCTCCCCTTCCTCCTCCCTCCTCCTCCTCCTCCTCCCTCCTCCTCTCCCTCCTCCTCCTCCTCCTCCTCCTCCTCCTCCTCCTCCTCCTCCTCCTCCTCTCCTCCTCCTCCTCCTCCTCCTCCTCCTCCTCCTCCTCCTCCTCCTCCTCCCTCCTCCTCCCTCCTCCTCCTCCTCCTCCTCCTCCTCTCCTCCTCCCTCCTCCTCCTCCTCCTCCTCCTCCTCCTCCTCCTCCTCCTTCCGCTCCTCCCTCCTCTCCTCCTCCTCCTCCCTCCTCCTCTCCCGCCTCTCCTCCTCCTCCTCCTCCTCCTCCTCCTCCTCCTCCTCCTCCTCCTCCTCCTTCTTAGGCCACCCTCCTCCTCCGTCTCCCCCGTCCCGCCAGCTCCAGCAAAGCGACGGTGTTGCAGGCGGGTCCCAGGTCGCCCCCTTATGTCGGTCCCGCCGTCGGCCAATTGCGTCCCTCAGCGGGGTCGCGAGCAGGCTCCCCTAAGTGGTAACGACATAGATGAAGCACGATTCATCGGGTTGCTTCGCGTGCAAATTAGCACAAGAAATCACATATTGGATCACCGGTGCCCTGTTCTGTTCCTCCGTCCAACTCCTCGTCCTCCTTTCCTCCTCGCCTTCTGTCGCCATCCCGCACGGTGCCGCCTGGAGGTGTCAGCAAGGAGAAGGATACTGTCCGATTACACAGCCTTTGAGGGTGGCTGGACCGTATATCATAGCATGGCAATTCATAGGAAGGTTGGAGTCTGATGCAGAACGAAGGGTTGTCAAGCCATCGTCATTTGATGACGAATGCCAAACAAATGGTTTGCACTTGGGGGCCGCTACTGGCCGGACAGCACCACAGTTGTTGGGAGGAGTTGGGACAACTCAGGATCACGAGGTAGACAGATGGCCAAGAAAGATGGGGCAACGAGAATGGAAGCAATGGCAGGAGATGCGGAACAGGGAAGCAAATAAGCGGACGGCAGATACAGACAGTGAGGACAAGATGGAGAAAACAATAACACATGCAAACGCACTCCGAATCGCAACTCGCAAGCTCTTCGCGATTACAACAGCTGACCGGACGTGGGCAGCACCCTGTGCTGTTCCGATGCTCGCGTCACGGCGCGGACGATCCAGGTGCTCGGTAAATCGTCTACAGACATGGACCCAAGGGGAGGACTCCGGAGGGACCGGGGGGGAACACGGGAGGGAGAGAGCGAGGGAGAGAGAGAGAGAGAGGAAGTTCGTATATCAGATCCTGCTGAACGTGCTGAGTCTGGGGGCTCGGGCGCCGCACCCGAGCCTGCCTGATCGCCAGCTGTGATCGCAGCATGGGCTGGCGACCAACCCCTGAGCAACGAGGCACTGGATGGAAACCAGCAGCAGGAAGAGGATGAAGGCGGGGCGGCAATGCGGGCAGTACTTTCTGTGGGGATTTGCAGTCGGAGGGCGGGGAGGGCGGAGCGGGAGGAGGAGCAGGGAGAAGAGGAGGAAGAAGAGGATGGGCGAGGGGGGGGCCTTCGCACAGGTCAAGTATTCCGCTGGCCGCGGTTGCTCTTGGTTCTGCTGCATAGGAACAAAATTCCTGACCAACTTGTCCACCACTACTGGCATACTCAGCGCGGGGGACCCAGAGAGATGAGATCCTTGTGCAGGGAGGTCCTCGCGGGGCTGTGGCACCCTAGGGCGTCCCGCCGAAGCCTCAGCCTCTCTTCCTCTAGCAGCATCCCCCCGCGCCCTCAACCAGTCGGGTTCCAGCCTGCTGCTCGACGGAGGTGGCCCCTGGGTGCCAGTGGAAGCCGCTGAGCCAGCTTGGCGCGGCCAGTATTTCACGACGGAGAGACGAGGTCATGCGGTGCGAGCAATGGGATGGCGCGACGGGGGGGGCCTTCCAACAAGGCGCGGGGGCGTCTAGGACAGCAGGGGCCCTCTTGGAAGGACCCGGGCACTCCCGCGAGGCCTTCTCGAAAGCCTCTGGGCGGTTCCAAGAAGGTCTCTCCCCGCCCTCCGCCTTCTCGGAGGGCTTCCCCCCTCGCGCCACCCCGCTGTGCGAGCCGCCGAGAGTGGTGAAGGAGCGAGAAGGATGGATGATGCGAAAAAGAATGAGGAGAAGTGGAAGCATAATTTTGGCTCGTCGCATCAGAGGAATAAAGGAAGAAATCGTAGAACTGCGGACAGGTCAGCACCAATAGGACAGAAAGAAAAATGGCATGACTGCCGACAGGCAAGCGCCAGTACTTCCCGGTACAACGTGTAGCCGTCGCCGAACGAAGCAAGACACCGCGGGTATCACTATTACAACAGATGTCACGTGCGAGAACACAAGCGCCAAGACACCAACGCAGCGACGGGCCCGTGAGGGGTCAAATCCGCCAACCCCCTTGAGGGGCTATCAGGCTGCGGGAATGAGGTTTCCTGTAACTGTGATGTGACTAGGCGCGCAGCGCCATGGATCGTTTTGCTGCGAGCGCGGCTCGAACAACCGCTGGCGTAGCTCTGAGGCCAGAGGCCCCGTTTGAGAGATAACGGTTGCGGGCAGAACGGGCACGAGAGAGAGGGAAAGACACGCAGAGAGCGGAAGCGAGGCGGAAGCGGGGGATCAGGGCGAGGGGAAGTGCACCTTATCACACTCCTCCTGCACGACTTGGTGGTTCCCAAACGTGGTGGTGAGAACACCCGGTGGTGAGTTTGGGGCGATTTGGGTAATGGTTTTCGAGCGCTGGCTGGCCCAGGAAACGCAAAACCTCGTGGCGACCGCGTGTCCCCAAACCCGGTGGTGACCCAGAATTCGTTTTTTGGGGGGAGTCGGGGTCACCACCGGGTGTCTCACCACCTGGTTTGGAGATCGCCAAACGACCCTCGAAACCTGCGCTGGCTGTGCTGCGCCCGGAGGGCGTCGGGCATGTGAGCGGGCCCTCGTCTCGGGCACGCCGACGGACGGAGCCTCGCCTCGTGCAACGGATCGAATGACCGAGATAGCTCTCAAGGGGCCCCAGGACACACAAATAAATACACACAAAAAAAAACTCTTTATATTTCCCCTGATGTTCTGGGTTTCTGTCTTCCCGCCCCCTTCCCACACTTTCCCATGTTTTCGGGGGAATCGAGGACTCATTGTGTCTGTGTGTTTCTTTTCCTCCTGAAGCTCGACGGCAGCATCTGGAGCGCCGGGCTCGGCACTTCTTGGGGCTCCGGTGAGCAAGCGGCCCAACTCGGCTTGCGGCGGGGGGCCCCGGGGCCATACTATGGGGCGCGCCACGCAGAGCCCGTGGACGACGTCCTTCTCTCACCTGCCGCCGGCGATCTGCGGCGGGCACTTGGCAAGGGGGAACTGATCTTGCCACCCTCGTGGCAAGATCTGTATGGCAAGTTCGGAGGCCTGGAAGTTGGCACCAACACCAAGACAGGGGGTTGCCGCCACAGGGGGAAGGTGATCCTAGATTTTCGGTGTTGGTGGCAACATTTCGGCCACCTTGGAAGCCAGAATATTACCACCATCACCGAGATCGGGATCTTCCTCCCTCGGTGGAGGCGGACCGCCGAAATTGGTGTTGGTGTCAATCTCTGGGCCTGCGACAAGTGCTGCGGTCGTCACCACATCAGTCAACCAAAACTGTGCACACTGAAGCAAGCGTCTGGTGACATTTCGGGCTTGCGCGGTAAATCTGTACACCGGGCATACAAAGAAACTGGCAGTGCGGACTTGCTTCTCCGCCGCGACCTTCGCGGCGCACCTCGAGGGCGCTCGGAGAAGCCAAGGGGGCAAGGCGAAAGGCCCGAGAGTGGCCCCGAGATAATCGTGACGGGTTTGGCTGGCGTCGCTGCGCTGGTCGCTTTCGTTGCCAGCATGCCCGCGGCGGGCGCGGAACCCCCCGCGGGCGTCCATGGCCCGAAGGCAGCGTTGACCAGGGCCCTGGGGCCGCTGACGAGTTGCGACAGGCAGTGGGGGACCCAAACGGGGCCCTATGAAGTGTTGCTGTCGTTTGGCGTGCCCTGTCATTGCGTGTTCGGCGGGTCATCGAGCACGAACGCCCTCGTGTACGGGCTGCGCGGAGCGGCGGTGCCGCTGCGGCACTGGTTCGCCCCGCGGGGTGACATCGAAGGTCAACCAAAATGGCTATCCCGAACATCAAGGTGCATCTCCGAGGAAGGTCCTGGGTCCCAATACAGTGAAAACGTATAGTAAGGACGCGTGGTCAGGACGCAAGACCCTTGGAGGCGCCCGCCCCAAGGGTACCCTGAGGAACTGGCCTGCGAAAATTGCTAGGGACGGGCCGCAGAGGCTGAGGCAGGCAAGGACCCAAGGGCACCCTTGAAAAAGTCGTCTGTCCTTACTAGGCGCGTTGACTGTAAATGCCCTTGGCTTTGGCGGCGCGTGCGCCAGCTCAGGGCTAACACAACGGTGCGCTGCTGGCTGCTCGCCTAGAGGCCCGCGCTCGCGCTGGGCCGACGTCGCGCGCGGAGGGGGGGGCGGCATCGGGCGCCGCCGCCCAGCCTCGCCCCAACGCGCGCCCGATGGGGAAGCTTCGAGGACTCGGAATGATCCACCGCGTGCTCTGCTGCGAGCCGCTCGCTGGTTGTCCTCGCCGACGCGCAGGCGAAAGCGGCAACGGCACGCCATCCGCCTTGCGCGGATAGCGCAGCGGCACCACCTCCGCAGCAACCCGCGCAGCGTTGTCCCCAGCGCGCGCCGCTCGCCGCGCCTCCCCGGAACACCTCGTCCCCCAGTCCTCTGCGAAAGCATGTGCACCCCACTCGGCAGCCCTGGGCAGCCCCAGGCGCCCCGCGCCGAGCTTGACCTATGCGGCGGCACTGCCACGCGCAACTCCCCCAAATCAAAGGTGCTCGCGCCATTGACGGGTACATCGCGGCACGTCGCACCCGGGAAGATCAACGACTTCGGACCCGAGCACCGCCTCTGGAGAATGCACACCCCGCAGAGCCCAACGGCCTGGACAGCGGCATCCAGTGCCGACCGCCCGAAGAGGTGCACCGCGGCGACGCGCCTTGCAAGGGAGCAGACGCAGACCCGCCAAATCTGGTCTGGGCCCCGGTGCCACGTTCGGTCTACCCACTCGATGCACGCCTTGCGGGTGCCCTTCTCCGCGCATGCCTCCCGCGCTGTCCCCGCGGGCACCGCGGCCCTGCAGGGCCGCCGCTTCCTGGAGCGCGCGCGCGCCAAGACGGACCAGTGGCCCATAGCACCGAGGCCCACCAATTCCGAGCCGAATCGCAAGCAGAAACAGCGACCCGCGTGCCGCCGCCTCTGCATGTATCGGCCCTGAGAACCGCCCCTTGCGGGCAAGAAGAAGCCCCAGGGGCCTCCCCCCTTGTGATCCCTCCCGTCGGGGGGGACGGGGAGGGGGGACCCAGGGGCCCCCGGGGAGATGCGCCTTGGCCCCGGAGGGGGTCGCCACCCAGATGCTCACCCCTCCCAGGGGGTGGAGCCCCAGAACGGACCAAGAGTGCCCAAAGAGGCCCCAAGACGGTCTAAGAGGGCCCCACATCGCCGAACGATCTGCCCAAGATGCCTTGACGGCCTCCCGAAGGCCCGTGAGGCCCGCAAAACGCCCCAAGAGGCCTCCAGGAACACTCCTAAGCTGCCAAAAGGCCCCCCAATGGCAAAATTCCGAAATTTCCCTCAGGTGCTTGACGCGTTTGGGCGTTCTCGCCTCTTCCGCTTCCCGACGCTCCAAGACGGCCCCAGAGGCCCCCAAGGTCGCCCAAAGACGACCCAAAGTCCTCCAGGAGGTTCCCAATTAGCCCACGAGGGCCCTAAGACGGCCCGAGACGCCTCCAAGATAGGCCAAGAGGCACACAAGACGGCTCCAAGAGGGTGTCCAGACGGGGGACCCGAATGGACCTCTCAGGAGGCCACAAGAGGCCTCGAAGACGCCCCGCAAAGGCCCCCAGGAAGCCCTTGCAGGCCCCGAAGAGTCTCCCCAAACGCCCCCGAACTGCCCACCAGAGGACCCGAGAGCGCTCCGAAGAGACCCCGACAAACATCCCCTCCTGCCCCCACTCATCACCCTCCTCCTCCTGCTCCGCATGCTCTTCCTCATCCTCTCCCTCCTGCTCCTGCTCCTGCTCTTGCGCCTGCTCTTCCTCCTCCTCCTCCTCATCTTCCTCCTCCTCCTCCTCGTCCTCCTCCTCCTCCTCCTCCTCCTCCTCCTCCTCCTCCCCTGTTCCTCATGCTCTTCCTCCTGTTCCTCACCCTTTCCCTCCTCCTCATATCCCTCCTTCGCATCCTCCTCCTCATCATCATCCTACTCCGCCTGATCATCCTGCTCCTCATGCTCCCCCCCACTCCTTCGTGTGCTCTTCTTCCGGCCCTCCGCAACCTTACCTCGACCTCGTCCTTCCCATCCTCCTCTTCTTCCTGCCCCTCCTCCTCCCCCTTCTCCGCGTCCTCCTTCTTCTCCTGCTCCTCCGACTCGCATTATCCTCGTCCTCCTACTGCTCCTTCCTCCCCCGTCCTCCCTCTGGCCCTGCTCCCTCTCTCCATCCTCCTCCGCGTCCTCCTCCTCCCCCTCCTGCTGCTCCAGCGCGTCCTCCGCCCTTTCTCCGCCTCCACCTCCTCCTCCTCCTCTCCTCCTCCCCCTCCTCGTCGTCGTCCTCGTCGTCGTCGTATTCAGGGATGGCGGCACTGGCCGTAAGGCCTTCACAATACATGAGAGTCGCGCCCTCGAGGAGATAATAAATACTCCATTCTGTAAGTTGCTACAAGATCGCGCTCCAGAGGTCTGACTGCTTTGCAAATTCACCCAGCTCGCGTTACTGATGCCAGAACCCTTCGTAATTTATGCCAGCTTCGCAGTCCCGAGGCAAGAACAGGTCGTGCATGTGAAGGTTCGCCGTTTGGTTTATAAAGTACCTCTGTAAAAACACGCCGGGCTCGCGCATTCGCAAAGCCGGCTCCGAAGGCCCGGTTCGCGCTTTCGTACGTGAAAGCACGACGGGACCGCGCCCCCGAGGCCCAAATCCGTCGCGAAGTGCAGCGAGCTCGCGCTCCCGACTGGCCGTCGCTCGGACGTCCATTCCATGTGCTGTTGTCGGTTTCGTGCGCGGCTTTTTCGCCAAATGATCAAGGATGCTCCTCGATGGTCCTCGCCGAACGAAAAAATGCACACGTCCCAGCGATGCCAAGCCGAGGGAGTGATTGGGCGCCCGAGTTCTCCGGGGTAACTCGGGTCCGGGGTAACTCGGGTTCGGAATCTCGACAAAACCAACCCGAGTTAGCCCTGACCCGAGTTACCCCTGATGATTCGGGGCTCTGATCGATGGTCCTCGCCGAACGAAAAAATGCACACGTCCCAGCGATGCCAAGCCGAGGGAGTGGTCGTTTGCAGATGATGCCCGGCTCGCGCTGCCCGAGGCCACAGGCCTCCTGCCAACGCCGCCGACGTCGCGCTGCCGAGGCCGGGCTCCTCCACAAGCTGCGCCAGACTCGGGGTCCCGAGGCCAGAATCCCTCGTGTGCAACTTGCGCTGGGTTCCTCCTCCTCCTATCTCCTCCTCCTCCTCCTCCTCCTCCTCCTCCTCCTCCTCCTCCTCCTCCTCCTCCTCCCCCTCCTCCTCCTCCTCCGAGACCGGACTCCTCCGCAAGCTGCGCCGGACTCGGGGTCCCGAGGCCAGAATCTAGGAGGCCTGGAAATTGGCACCAACACCAGCACAGGGGGGGGCCTCCACATGGGGAAGATGAGCCTAGATTTCGGTGTTGGTGGTAATATTTCGGTCACCTTGGAAGCCAAACTATTACCACCATCACCGAGATCGGGATCGTCTTCCCTCGGTGGAGGCACACCGCCGATCTTGGTGTTGGTGTCAACCTCTAGGCCTGCGAGAATCCCTCGTGTGCAACTTGCACTGGGTTCGCCATGACATCCGCCACCGTGCCCCCTGGCACGCTGAGGCGTGGGAGAATGCCAAGACCTTTCTGGTATGTGTTTTTGAATTCTCCCCCTTCCCCACGAGCAGACTCTTGCGTGCACCGCCCCTCTCTCCGAGGCCACTTCCCTCGTGCCCGCTCGAGGCGAGTGCACTTCCAGCACGACAGCTAATTCCTAAACCCCCATTAGACGCTTGCCCGCTCGAGGATGGTGCGCTTCTCGCATGGCAGCTAATACCTGAACCACACTTCCACGCGTACCCGCTCGAGGATGGTGCACTTCCCGCATGACAGCTAACGCCTGAACCCTCATTCCATGCGCGCCCGCTCGAGGATCATGCACTTCCCGGATTCCAAGGCGCTGCTCCCAAGCGCTCCAGGGCCTCCCAAGCCACGAGCCCTCGTTAAAAACAATGGATATGCCTCCCGAGCTTCCAAGACTACCCGTGCAGGCAACCCAAGGACACCAAGAAAGCCCAATATGCCTCGAAGACGGCCCATGATGGCCCCAAGGCATAGAATACTGAATCAATACGGCCCAAGATGTCTCCAAGAGGGCTCAAAATGGCCACAGTAGGACATCCGACAGGGTCCGAAGAAGCTGAAGTCATCAACTTCCGTCAATGTTTGAATGATTGTTGCATCCTCGCAATTCCAGGCTGCCGTCAGCCCAAAGCGGCTCCAGACGACGCCACGAGGGCCCAAGAGGCATCCAAGACGGCCCCGAGACCGCCCAAGAGGGCCTCCCGTGGGACCCAGCACGGCCTTAGACGGCCATTCGACGGCCCAAGACGGCGACAGACGGCCCCACGACGGCCCCCAGACACCAACCATACGGCCAAGAGGGCCCTCAGACGGCCCAAGAGAGCCCCAAGCCAGCGTAGGAGGGCCCCAAGACTGCCCAAGAGGGCCTCAAAGGACTCTAAAGACTGTCACACAGGAAACCAAGACAGCCGAAAGACGGACCAAATGAGTCTCATCATCGTCATAAGTATCATCATCAGCAGCAGCATAATCACCATCATCATCATCATCATCATCATCATCATCATCATCATCATCATCATCATCATCATCATCATCATCATCATCATCATCATCATCATCATCATCGTCATGAATCATCATCATCGTCATGAATCATCATCATCATCATCATCATCATCATCATCATCATCATCATCATCATCACCATCGTCATCATCATCATCATCATCATCATCATCATCATCATCATCATCATCATCGTCATCAGCATCATCATCATCAGCATCATCATCATCATTATCATCGTCGTCGGCATCAGCAGCATCATCATCAGCAGCAGCATCCGCATCATCATCAGCATCATCACCACCACAAGCCTCATCATCATCACCACCATCATCACCATCATGAATCATCATCAGTATCAGCATGATCATCAGCAGCATCATCAGCAGCATCACTATCATCAGCATAAACATCAGCATCAGCATCAGAATCATCATCGTCCTCCTCAGCATCATCACCACCATCACCATCACCATCACCATCATCAGCTTCACCAGCATCATCATCATCATCATCATCATCATCAGCATAATCGTCAGCACCAGCATCACCAGCATCATCATCATCAGCATCAGCATCACAATCATCATTAACAGTATCATCGTCATAATGGTCATCATCACCATCCTCATCAGTCGCAGCATCATCATCATGAGCATCATGATTATCAGCATCAGCATCACAAGCATTAGCAGCATCATCAGCATAGTCATCGGCATCGTCATCATCATCCCCATCAGCTGCATCCTCATGATCGTCATCATGCTCACCATCATAATCAGCGTCAGCATCATCATCATCATCACCATCAGCATCAACATCATCATCAACTGCAGCATCATCACCATGCTCACCGCCAACAACAACATCATCATCATCATCATCATCATCATCAGTGTCAGCATCCTCATCAGCATCCGCAACAACAGCATCGCGAGCAGCACGATAACCATCATGATCTGCATCCTCATAACCATCATCCCCATCATCATCGCCACCACCATCGACAGCATCATCAGCACAATCCTCATCACCATCGTCATCCTAGTCCTCATCACCATCATCATCATCCTCACTAGCGCCGTCATCATCATCATCATCATCACCACCATCATTAGAATCGGCATCAACAACAGCATCAGCAGCATCATCATCATTATCATCGGCAGCATCATCAGCAGCATCATCAGCATCATGACCATCATGAGCATCATCATGAGCAGCAGCAGCATCAGCATCGTCACCACAATCATCATCATCATCAGCATCATCATCATCATCAGCATCGTCGTCATCATCATCATCCTCATCATCAGCATCATGATATATGCATCGTCAGCATCCTCAATATCATCATCATCGATATCATCGTCGTCGTCGGTATCATCCTCCTCATCATCATCATCAGCAGCATCATCACCATAATCATCAGCATCAACATCAAATCATCAGCATTCTCATCACGGCTCTGCCAAGCCTGGAGACACGAAAAGTCCCATGTGACGGCCTCCCGTGCCACTTCGATCAGTCCCGGCCCAGGATGCTGGGCTGGCACGGTGGCAGCACTTGCAGCAGGAAGCTGGATACATTACGCCAAATTCGTGCTCGCGATGCCAGGTGCAAATTACTACAAGTTCACGCTCCGAGGCCAGAATCGTGTTGTAAATTACGCCAGCTGCCAATCAAAATGACATCAGCTTTGCGCTCTGAGAAGGAAACAAAGCGTTCAACACAGCCGACACGCCCTGGCTCTGGCATCTCCCATTGTGGTATATAGAGGGGGCCGGCGGCACAGGGGAAAACCCTTGCGGACTATGTTGGCACGATGCGGTTTGCCGATCCGAGTACGACATTGTGAACCCAGCAGAACATAACGCGCCACAAGGAACATGTCTACCCAAAATTCGTTTGAACAGCAATATCTCGGCAGATGTACATGTCTGGTAGTGCGACTCAAACGTGGGCAGATCTACATCTAGGTCTTGGTGGTATCGCGTATAGCTCATCCGATGATGAGATAAACGGAATAGGATCGAAACGTGTCCGAATGAAGTGGCACAGTTTCCATGACGGTGCCATTGCGACCCAACTTTCGATCAGACGAGCTGCCTACAGAATCGAACAACCAATCCAGATTGCACTATCATGGGGAGCCCATGACGGCACAAGAGACAGGAAGGCGGACGAGGGAGGATGTGGTGATGAGGGTTGTGGCGAAGGAGGAAGATGCGGAGGAAGCGGAAGCGGAGAACGAGGAGGTGCAGGCAGATGCACTCCACAGCGGGGCGCTCATCACAGTCCACGGAGAAAAACAAAAAACGCCGCCTGAATGTCGGCTCCTTCCAGAGCCACTCTTCTCCTCGATTCTGGTCACTAACCTCCACGGCGGAACAGCAGAGGACGAACGCTCAGCGGACCAAAAGGAGGAAAAGGAGAACGAGGAGGAGGAGGGTAATTGTCACGAAGAGGAGGCGGATCATGCGAGAGAAGAGGAGAATGATAATTGTAACGAAGAGGAGGATAAGTGTAACGAGGAGGAGGACGACGAGAGGAGGAGGAAGAGGAGGAGGAAGACGAGGAAGACGAGGAGGAGGAGGACGAGGGGGAGAAGGAAGAGGAGGAAGCGGGGGAAGGAGGAAGGGGGAAAAGGAAGGTCAGCATCACCCTGCGACGTACCCAACCCAATTTGCATCCAGTGACAAGAGGAGTTGGCCCAAACATGCCAAGACAATGACAGCGCAGGCGCCGTTGTATGTTGTGTAAGCTATGGGCGACGACGAAAGCGACGGCAGGAGACAGGACAGTGTTGCTTTTGTCGGTAGTATGCTTCAGATGCAGCGCTGCCCGCGCCATGCCGCCGAGGCGATAGAAAATGATCAAGCCTGCTTGTCGCTAGTGCAGTGAGCGAGCGAAGCCTAGTTCGCGCGCTAGCTTCTCTGCCTCCTTCCTGCACTTTCCGATGCGGGGGCTAAACGCTCGAAGGCGCGCCGCCAGGTCTGCGGACGGCACGCGGGCAAAGACATTCAGGCCGGGGTCGCGTATCATCAGGAGGTTGTCCAAGCTGGGAAAAAAGGGTCCAGCCTGGTGGTCCGCGTAAGACGTCGCTCCGCTGCACTCCCCAGCAGCCCTCGAAAATGGCGGCAAGCTCGCAGATCGCAGCCTCCGAGAGGTGAAGAGGTATCCGGGTGGTCCTCGTAAGGCGTCGCTCCGCCGCACCCCCCAGCAGCCAAAGAGCCGACAGTTCTGCAGATCGCAACACCCCAGGGATGTCGAGGTCGCATTTGAATTTAGGTAAGACGTCACTCTGCTGGACCCCCCAGCAGCCCTCGAACGTGCCGACAATTCGCAGATCGCAGCCCCCAAGGGATGGCGAGGTCAAATTTAAATCTGGGTAAGACGTCACTCCGCTGGACCCCCCAGCAGCCCTCGAAAGTGGCGACACTTTCGCAGATCGCAGCCCCCCCAGGATGGCGAGCTAAACGTTCGCAGGCGCGCCGCCATGTCTGCGGACGGCACGCGGGCAAAGACATTCAGGCCGGGGTCGCGTATCATCAGGAGGTTGTCCAAGCTGGGAAAAGGGGTCCAGCCTGGTGGTCCGCGTAAGACGTCGCTCCGCTGCACCCCCCAGCAGCCCTCGAAAGTGGCGACAGGCTCACAAATCGCAGCCCTCCAGGACGGCGAGGTCTCATTTGAATCTGGGTAGGACGTCACTCCGCTGCACCCCCACAGCAGCCCTCGAAAGTGCCGACATTCCGCAGATCGCAGCCCCCCAGGGATGGCGAGATCGCATTTGAAGCTGGGTAAGACGTCACTCTGCTGGACCCCCCAGCAGCCCTCGAAAGTGGCGACAGGCTCGCAGATCGCAGCCCCCAAGGGATGGCTGGGTAAGACGTCACTCCGCTGGACCCCGCAGAAACCCTCGAAAGTGGCGACAGTTTCGCTGATCACAACCCCCCAGGGATGGCGAGGTCAAATTCGAACCTGGGTTAGGACGTCACTCCGCTGGACCCCCCAGCAGCCCTAGAAAAAGCCAACAGTTCCGCAGATCGCAGCCCCCCAGGGATGGCGAGGTCAAGTTGAATCTGGGTCGGATGTCACTCCGCTGGACCCCCCAGCAGCCCTCGAAAGTGCCGACAATTCGCAGATCGCAGCCCCCCCAGGATGGCGAGGTCTACTCTGAATCTGGGTAGGACGTCGCTCCGCAGGACCCCCCAGCAGCCCTCGATAGTGGTGACAGGCTCGCAGGTCGCAGCCCCCCCAGGGATGGCCAGGTCTAGATTGAATCTGGGTAGAACGTCACTCCGCCGGACCCCCAGCAGCCCTCGAACTTGGCGACGGTTTCGCAGGTCGCAACACTCCGGGGATGGCCAGGTAGGAGGCAAGGTGGCACGCAGGAGGGAGCGAGGAGAGAGGATCGGATCGGAATGGCATTGAGGCGGTCCCCGTGCCTCCGCTGGTGGGTTACTCTTGTTCCGTTGATCCACCGCCCGCCCCGACAAAAAGGCGGCCAGGCCATAAGCCTGCAGGCAGCCCAACGCAGCAGGCGCGGGGGGGGGCGGCAGCCCAACGCAGCAAACGCGGGAACTGAGAGGCAGGAGGGGGGCGGGAAGGGAGGAGGGAAAGGAGGGCGGGAGGAGGAAGGAAGGTTCAAAACGAGAATATCCAACGCAGGAGGCAGGGCGGCAGGCAAGCAGGAGGAGGGGAGCAGAGAGGGCGGGGGGAGCACGGAGACCACAGGGCAGTGTGCAGAACGAGAACCACACGCAGGAGGGCTGGGAAAATGGAGGGGCACGAGGATGAAGCCGAGGATCGGGAAGAGGAGGATGACGAGGAGGACAAGGATTGGAGGGCGGACGAGGAGGACATCTACAAAGAGAGAGGAAGGGGGCGGGAGGAAAAGAAAGAGAAAGAGAGAGGAGAAAAGAAACAGAGGAATCAATCCAGAAAGAGAAAGAGCCAGCGACATATACGGAGAGAGAGAGAGAGAAATACGCACAGAGACAAAAAGGAATAACGATATTGAACGAGAAAGAGGAGACATATAAAGCGAGAGAGAGAGAGACGACGACGACGACGAATAAAGAAACAGAGAGGCAAAGAGAGAGAGGGATAGACAGAGAGATAGAGAGAGGGACAACCAACAAACACAGGGAGAGAGGAAAACAGAGAAAGAGAGAGAAAAGGAGAAAGAGAGAGAGAGAGAGAGACAAAGATAGAGAGGGAGACAGAGAGAGAGGGAGGGGGGGAAAGAGAGAAAGAGAGAGAGAGAGAGAGAGCGATAACCAAAAAGCCACGAATGCGAGGGTGACCAGGAGGCGGTGGCGGAGCAGCAGGGCACCGGCCGCGGCTCTGCCGCTCTCTCTCCCTCTTCTGTATTCATGTATGTATATTTCCCTACTTCCACCTACAACCATATTTCTTCATATACACACCGATGTAACTATGTGTTTATCTCTCTCTCTTTGCTTTCTCTCTCTCCCTCTCCCTCTCTCTGTACATATACACACATTCATATCAGTATATATCGATACGTACGCAATGATCATTCCAGCTTAGACATGTGAATATATATATATGTGTAAACCACAACGGTATATACACAACGATATATACAAAACGCTATACCACACATCTATACACAACGCTATACCACAACGACACATATACACAACATCTGCATATACAACGATATAGACACATACCTTCCAGTCCCTAAACAGCGCTTGCACTTACGAGAAATTCGATGATCTTCTCTGGAGTTGGACGCGACGGCCGGTTCAGCGGCTATGTAGTCGCTGTCGGCGCCCCGTCGCCACTTCGTCGCTGCCCATCGCCTGGGCCTGACTTCCGGTCAGGCGGTTTGTAATCGCCACCGCCGACTCGTTGCCGCATCGTCGACGCCCGTCGTCTGGGCCTGACGGCCGGTTTGGCGGCTTTGTCGTCGCCGTCGCCGCCCCGTCGCCGCCGTCGCCGTTCGTCGCCGCCTAAGTTGCACAACGTTGATTCCCCTTCTCTGGAAAGAAATCAAAATCTACAACCCTCCACCCCACCCGGAGCATCACCCCGCCCTAGGGATGTGCTGTTCTCATAATATTACGTTTCATCGCTCATGCTAAATATGAACTCGTACCATTCCAGCCCAGCCGGCATCGACCCCGCCACCCCCGCCATCATCCTCTGCAAATAACGCTACGCGCGCACATACGTTATCAAACACCATCCAGGTTCACGAATATGTTGCGCAAGTTGCGGGACGAAAAGCACACGCGCGCGTCGTCGCGCGCGCATGCCGGAAATTTTACAAAACCACCTTCCGTATGGAATTCGAATTGTAGCACCCTGAAATAATGCACACATGGTTCCGTAACATATTTTTCATTCACAAACATTTGCGCGCGCGTTCTTGCGAATCTTTTTACCGACAACCACGGGTTTTTCAACGTGATCAGCCATGCGACCAGACGGGCCCCTCGTGCACGCATGTCTAAATCATTCGACCGCCCTGGCGCGCGTGCTGGTGGGGAGGGGGGGTGGCGCGACCCCTGTCAAATAATACCATGCGGGCCATTCACGCGAGTCGGCCGCGAACGCATGTCGAAATCCATCCAAAACCTGCATCACCGACGCGCGGACACCATCAACATCACCGGCGTGATCAGCATCGGTGCCGACATTGGCCTTGCCGTCGTCATCGTCGTCGTCACGAGCATCGCTGCAATCACCATCGTGTCGGCCTTTGTCGGCGTCGCCACGAAACGGCGCCCGCCCGAGTCACCGACTCGCACTGAAGTGCCCGCGCGTCAGCGCGGCCTGTGAGACGCGCTGGGAAGCCCCCGGACGTCAGCGCAGGGGCGGCCGCGTCGGTCGCGCCAAACTAGCTCGCCGTTTGCGCGCGAGCTTGTGCGCGCTAGCGCGGCCGCAGTGGTGCGCCAGCCAGCGCAAGGCAGGGATCGCAATTGCCGCCCCATGGGTAACAACGGTGCGGCTGCATGGGCGGGGTGATTGCGCGAGCAGTGGAGTTGACAACTGACTGCGAACAAAGATTGAGTCTCCTTCCAAACGAAGATCTAAGATCCACCCCGACCCTGGAAATCCCCCCCGCCCTGGGGATGTGCAAAGCACATCTCATTGTGCCTCATCGTTCACTCTTAATATGAACTCAGACCATCCCAGCCCAGCCGGCATCGACCCCGCCCCACCATCCTCTGCAAAAAAACTACGCGCGCACACTCGTTTATCAAACATCGTCAGGTTTCGAGAACACTGGCACAAACAATGACGAAAGGCCAACACGCGCGCCGTCGCGCGCGCATGTCGACATCCTTCGGAAGCCTTGGGTCGAGCACGGATTTCAAAATCGAGCGCCCCGAACACTTATAACTTATGAATAGACATGGCTTCGAAACAGATGTTTTCGTGGGGGAAAAAACCAAAAACAGCGCGCGCTCTTGCGAATTCTTGACCGGTTGACCGAAAACCTGGACCTTCTGGGCCGATCACCCCCCCCCTAACATCGCCCCTGCCTCATGCATGCAAAGGCGTCCGCGGACGTGTGCGAGGCGCGCAACGCTCACGATGGGCGCACGGGGCCGCAGTCGAGCGGGGGCACCAGTCTCGCGGACTCGTGCAGGTCAGAGGCGCCCTCCTGGGCGTCGCGCGCTGCGGCTCTCCTCCCCGCCCTGCTGCAGGATCGGCCGGCATCGAATCGAGAAGCCGCATCGGACGGCAGCACGAGTCGGATCGTGCCGCACCGGCGCGGAGCTGAGCTCGAACAGGATCGGCCGCGCCGGGATGCACAGCAGCGCCAAGCAAGCATCGGGTCGCATCGGATCGTCGGAAAGTCGACTCTGGGGAAGCCAAAAGGTACCGATACCGCTACTCCCCGGGTCTCTTCCGGGGTGCGTCCTGACCAGGATTTCGAAGCGAATCCAGCGGTGGCGACGAGGGCCTCTCAGGAGGCCCAAGAAGGGGAAAACGAGGGAAGGGTAGAGGTATGGGTACCTTTTCCTCCTCTGAGATTCCGAATCGGATCGGGCTGGCCGAGGTCAACGTCGAAGGGTATAAGGAATGGGAATGGAGGAGGAGGAGGAGGAGGAGCAGGAGGAGGAGGAGGAGGAGGAGGAGGAGGAGGAGGAGAGGAGGGAGGAGGAGGGAGGAGGAGGAGGAGGAGGAGGAGGAGGAGGAGGAGGAGGGAGGGGGAGGAGGAGGAGGAGGAGGAGGAGGAGGAGGAGGAGGAGGAGGAGGAGGAGGAGGAGGAGGAGGAGGAGAAGGGGGGCCCATGTAATCGGGAAGGGGTCGTGGCCCCAGGGCCCCAGCCACGACATCCACTGCAAAGGCCCGAGCTGTCGGAGCTCTGGGCGGCTTGCTCGGGTCGGTGCAGGGCACCCACTCCTCGGCGCGAGGAGCACGATGGGTGGCGCAGGAGGCGCCGCCACAGGGGGGCCCATCGCCGATCCGAGAAATCCACGCGGGAATCCAAAACAAATTGCTCAGGTAAGTTATCTTCTTCGAGCACCCCCTCGCCTCCTGTACTCCTCACACCTCTTTTCATGCTCCTATTGCCTCGCTTCTCCATTTTCCATTTCCGTCTAGATACCTACTCCCTGTCGCTCCCCGACCCCGGTCGAAGAGGGCGGGGCGAACGTTTCGCTTCCAACTTCCTCACCACCAATGACCCTGCAGCTTTCCAACTGGCAACAAATTCACAGACGCATGGCGGGTCGCTTCCAAAATGTGGCATCGCCACAGCGCCGCGCAACCTCGTTTCAAGCATTCGCGAGCGTTTCGCTTCAAACTTGCTCACCACGAATGACCCTGCAGCTTTGCAAACTGGCAGCAGATTCACAGACGGCTGGCGGGTCGCTTCCAAGATGTGGCCCCGCCCCCGCGCCGCGCGGACACTAGTCTCCAGCACTCGCGAGAGCCTCACGGACCGAGGGCGGGCCGTTCTCGAGAGGCGTCTTGCGCCTCTAGCGCCGCGCGCACTCGTCCTCAAACTGTGCAAGGGCTTCAAGGACTGAGGGCGGCTGGTTTCCAAGATGTGGCTCGCGCCCTAGCGCCGCGCGCACTCGCCTTGTCATGCACTTCAAAAGAATGCCAGGACCTTAACGCATTGATGGCGGATCAATTTCAGAACGCGGCTCTCGCCTCAGCGCCGCGCAAATTCGTTGAAACATTTGCAAACAGCTTCACGGATTCCTATGGCCAACACACCAGAAATTCTGTTTTGAAGGATTCCGGATTGTAAGGACGCCACCGTTACGTTGATTCGCGATGTTGGAGTCCCAGGAGTGGTGTTCTGGCACGATTCTGGATCGTCCAGACGCAACAGTCAGGTTGATCCGTGGCGTTGGAGTCCCGAGAATGGTGTTTTGGCACGCTTCAGGGTCTTCGAATGGTTGTCTCCCAACGAGTCAGTTCCCTTCAGTGTAAATGAACCCTTGCAGGGGCCCATGAATAGGGAACTTCAAGGGAGGGTTGATTCCAACATCGTTGACGGGTCTTGGTTTTACACTCGTCTTCTTCCTCCTCCAGCTCCTCATCATCATCAGAATCATCATCCTTTCGTTCCCATTTCCCCCTGCCCTCTCCCTCCGTTTTCTCCCTTGTGTTGCCTTCTCCCCCTGCTCCTACACCCCCTTTCAATCCCTCCTCCTGCTCTCATTCCCCCTCATCCTCCTCGAGTGCAAAATGGAAACCAGTGACAAGCTGTACCCTGTCGCCGCGGCGGCTCGTCGAGATCAGAGGGGGCGAGCCGCGAAATGTGCAACCGACAATATCGCAACGTCAAAATCTCCGTAACCACTCCTCCTCTTCCTCCTACCGCTCCATTCCTTCTTCTTGTAGGGAACTCCTTCCTGTCGCACCCCGAAGCCGGTCGAAAGGGTGGGCCGAGCGTTTCGCCCGAGACTTCCTCATCACCCTCATGCTAAGAAACTGGCAACCATTTCACAAACGGAGGGCGAGCGGTTTTCAATACGTGGCTCTCGTTCTAGCGCCGCGCGCACTCGTCTTCAAAATTTGAAAAAAACTTCAAGGATTGAGGGCGCTTGGTTTTCAATATGTGGCTCTCGCCTTAGCGCCGCGCACTTTCGCCTCTAAACATTCACGAGCTTCACGGACTGAGGGCGGGCCGTTTTCAAAATGTGGCCCTCGCCTCAGCGCCGCGCACACTCGTTTTAGAAATATGCTACAAAGTTTCACGGATTGGAGGCGGTTGGTTTTCAACATGTGGCTCGCGCCTCAGCGCCCGGCACATACGCTTTCAACAATTGCAAGAGCTTCACGGATTGAGGGCGGCTGTTCAAAATGTGGCTCTCGCCTTAGCGACTAGTACACTCGTTTCCGGAATCTGCACAAGTTTCCCAGATGGCGGGCGGGTCGATTCCAAAATGTGGCTCTCGCCCTAGCGCCGCGCACACATTTGCAAAAAGATTCACGGATTGAGGGCGGGCAGTGTTACGTGTTCAAAAGTGGCCGTCGCCTAAGCGCGGCGAACACTCGTTAAAAAAAATGCCTGGGTTTCACTAGCTCTCGTCAGGGCGCAACTGCTACGTCGATTCGATGTGTTGAAGTCCCAAGAATTGTGATCTGGCAGGATTCTGGATCGCTCAGACGCAACAGTCAGGTTGATCCGTCGCGTCGGAGTCCCGAGAATGGTGTTTTGACCACGCTTCAAGGCTTTAAAACGGTTGTCTCCCAACGGGGCAATTCCCTCAGTGACCCCTTGTAGGGCCTATGAAGAGGGATCTTGGAGGGAGGGTGTGTTCCAACATCGGTGAAGTGTCTTGGGTTTACACTGGTCCTCTCCTCCTCCTCCTCCTCCTCCTCCTCCTCCTCCTCCTCCTCCTCCTCATCATCATCATCATCATCATCATCATCATCATCATCATCATCATCATCATCATCATCCTCGTTGCTCTCTCACCTCCTCTACTCGTACTCCTCCCGTCCCCTAATCACGCACTGCTCGTGCAGCTCACGCGCGTGCTCTCCCGCTTCTTTCAGAACGGCTGCTCAGACGAGGCGATCGTCTCCACCAACGCCAGTGCAACGCAAAAAGCAGAAGAACAGCAACAACAAAAAAAAAAAAAACGAGGAGGATCCCGAGACTCGGGTCTCGCCCGCGGGGGCGGCGGCCTGGCCGCGCGCCGCGGACGGACGCGCGGCCCGGGCGCTGCCCCGCGGGGGATCCGGGGCCCGAGGGGCAGGATCGCGGGGGATCGAGGGGGGAGGCTCGAGAAGGATCGAGGCGAGGGACGGGGAAGGAGGATCGAGGATAATCGGGGAGGAGGATCGAGGAGAATCGGGGAGGAGGATCGAGGATAATAGAGGATCGAGGGAGGAGGATCGAGGATAAATCGGGGAGGATCTGACTGCCTACCAGACCACCCCAACCCAACCCGAAGACCCGAATTTGATCCGAATTTCGGGTTGGGGGGGGTACGGATTCCACGTGTTTTTTCAACGCTCGCCGACCCCCCCCCCACTGGAAATGAGTAGCCACTTGAGGCCTTCGGGTTGGGTTGGGGTGGTTTGGCGGGTGGGGAAGATCGACGAGGACCCCGGGGAACAACCTCGCCGGCGGGGGCGGCGGCCTGGCCGAACAGCGGCCGCAGCTGCTCGAGGCCGGCCACCTCCCTGGCGCGGGGCGCCCCGATGCTCGCCAGCAGCTCCTCGGGCGGCACGGGCGGCCCCGCGCGGCTGGCCTGGCCCCCTTGGGAGTGGCCGGCGTTTTAGTAGGGGCCACATGCGAACCCTACCCCTACCCCCCACGATTTCTGAGGGGGAAGGTGGGGTTCACTTCGCTCGGGAGCTCCCGAAGGAAGTGAAACCCACCCTCCCCCTCAGAAGTCGTGGGGGGTAGGAGTAGGGTTCGCATGTGGCCCCCTGCTTAGACAGCTGGCCACCCCTGGGGGGGACCGCCTCCTGTGTGGGACGGCGGAGGTGTCTGCCGGCTCCCGGCCAGAGTGCGCTGGGTTGCGGGGGCACGCGGCCGCCTGGGGGGAGGGAGGAGGAGGAGGAGGAGGAGGAGGAGGAAGAGGAGGAGAAGAAGGAGAAGGAGGAGGAATGTGCGGAATGTGCGGTGAGGCGGGTCAGCAGCGGCAGGCGCACGCAGCCCGACAGTCACAAGAGTGACATTAAAACAGGCCCGAACGGTGTCGAACGGGCGGGGGAGAGGAGAGACGGCACGGGCGAACGCTCGCCCTAAGCGCGAGCGGGTTCCTCCGTTCCCTGCGCGCCCCCCCCTCAAGGAGCAAAGAGTTCTCTCTAAAGCGAGTCCCTCCCCTAAGCTCACGAACATCCGAGCTGCGTCCAGCCGCAGATATCGACACCGCCGTGCCGCCCCAATAAGCCGACCCGAGGGGCGCCACTCCCCCAGGCGACCGCGCACCCCCACGCACGCCAGGGCGGGGAACCCTGACCGTGGGAAGGATGGGCGTGGATCCTCCAATGAGCCCCTCAAGGATGACGATCGGACTGCAACCCGCCTGTTTGCCTGGGGAGGAATCCCAGTGGCACAGGTGCCGAGGAGGAGGAGGAGGAGGAGGAGGAGGAGGAGGAGGAGGAGGAGGAGGGAGGAGAAAGAGGAGGACGGGAGGAGGAAACCCCGGGCCCGAGCTTTGCGGTCCAACTCTTGCTCCGAAAGCAATGGTGCGTGATCTCGAAGCCGACCATCTGGAACCACTTGTTAGTTTCCAACATATGCTTCTGCAGAGTTCTGCATAGCCTCGTGGCTTGAAACGCCTCCGCTGGCACCACCATGTGGAATGAATCGGCCCCCCCTTCGCGTCATCCATCCCATGAATCCGCCAAATATATGCTGATACTTCGTTCTCTTCTCCGCATACCATGAGGCCAACACGTCGGTTGTTTGCAAGCGAGATTACCCATATTTGTCCGATTATCGTCTTTCCGAACTGGCAGTATATTGAAAGCCCGACAATCACAACTTGCTTGGCTGGTTTGATTTGAACTCTGAAGCCACGAGGCCTGTCATTTTGCAAGTTCGTTTCCATAGTTTGTCTTCATGTTGAACATCGATGGGGAAATCGACAATCTGTCTCGCCAACACATTGCCCAGACCTGAGGCGCACCAGGCCTCCCTCGCCGACAAGATCACCTCTACGATGTGCAGTATCCTGATGACCTTCTTCTCCTGAAGAACACCAGCCACACTTGTTATCAAAACGTATGCACCGATCCCAACCGAACCAAATGACCTCGTGGGTCTGCGTGCAGAGCCGTGATGGGATGGCTAAATTTCAGCCTCTGGGTCGTCGGTGGGCACGCTATGATGCCAGCGAACCTGAAACTCGTTGACGTCTCTTCTGCTCTCCAGCTCACCAAATATTGGCAGGATGCACCGGAATGTACCGTGCAAAATTCAGAACGCTGGTTCCAAATGCTAGTAACAATAAGAAGGTGTGCGTGCGTGTAGGATGGAGCCGCGCCCCCCCTCAAGATCGTGTGCGGTGGGGAGGGAAACCGCTGACATGCGGGATGTGCCCAACGCGCCATGGGCCTAAGGCCCAAGCATATGGCATATGGGCGGGGGGGGGGAGGGGAGAGGGTGGGAGGGGGGGCGCGGCCGGCGGCGGTCTCAGCTCGCTGACGTCGTCGTGCTGTGGCCCTCAAGGGGCGGGCTCGCTCGTAGGCCGGGAGGAGGAGGAGGAGGAGGAGGAGGAGGAGGAGGAGGAGGAGGAGGAGGGGGAGGAGGGGGAGGAGGAGGAGGAGGAGGAGGAGGGAATGGCGGGCCAGCCCACGCCCCACGCAGGCCTGCTTCGGGGGAGGCGGGCCCGCGCGCGGGGGCGTTCCCGCGCGCCCGCCCCTCCTCGGAGCCCCTCGCGGGCTCTGGGCGGCGCCGCAGAAGTCGCGACGGCCTGGCTTCTCAACGCTCTGAAGGGGAACTGGGACACACAAATAAATACACACGAATAAAAATATCCCCCATCCTTTCCCATATTTTCGCGGTTGTCTTCCCCCCCACTTCCCATATTTCCCCATATTTTCTGGGACTCGCCGATGAATTGTGTCCGTGTTTTTTCCCCTCCTGACGCTTGCGGCATCCAGTGTCCCGGCGCTCTTCAGCGGCGTGGCCTCGCAGCGCTTTTCAACCTTGCCTGGCCCGGGGGCCAAAACACTGCCTGCAGTCGGGGTCCAGGCCATGTCAAACTGCTCGCTGCCCCCAGATGCCAACGCCCCTGCTTGCGATGTCCCTCCCTGCTCACGGCAGTTCCTTTTTCTGCGAGCGGAGCTCTCGCCTCACGGCAGTATCGATCAGCGTCGAATCGATAACCCAAACCGGAGGGAGCGTGCGTCGGATCGGGCCGAATCGGCACGGAATCGGAACCGAGTCGGTTCGGCCGCGCCAGGAGGCGCAACGAGGCCATGTGCGAGCATCAGGCCGCATCGAAACGTCGGAACATCATGGATCATATGTTCCCATATGTTCTGTCTGGGAACCGACGATTAATTTCGAGGGTTGCTAAAGGTGCCCCTGGCTCAAGGTGCCCCCAGGTTTTCGCTCAATTGTGAAGCCCCTGGGGCCCTCTGGGCCTCGTGAGGGTGCTCTGGGGGCCGTGGGGGCCTCCCTGGAAATCCTGGGGGCACCTTGGGCCAGGGGCACTTCTGGCAACACCCGATAATTGTGTCTGTGTGTTTTTTCCCCTCCGGAATTATGGGCCGCCTGACGTCGCGCGCCGCACCCCGCGGTGCGCGACGCGCGGCCATCGCATCGCGCCCTCGCGATGCCGCCCTCGAACAAGTGCAGCTGCCGGGCCCCGGCCGCGACGCGCGCGAGGCCCCCGGAAGGTGGGCGGCCTCCTCCCGGGTGGTGTGGGGGGGGGGCCCGGGTCCCGACTGTGAGGGGCAACGAGGAGGGGGGGGAGTGGCACAGGGGGGGGAGGCACCGGCCTGGAATCGGCGGTACGTCGCCGATAGATCGGCGATAGGCCTCCGACAGCAAGTCCGCACCTTCCTGGCCAGGTCGGGGCCATCGGGCCCCCATCGGCGATCCGTGGGCGATCGGGGGTCGATGCATCCCCCCCGATGCCCCCCTATCGTTGCCCCCGAGATTGACGAGGCATGGGCGACCGGGGATCGGTGATTCCCTCACTCGGCCAGTCCCCCCCCTTGAGCAGGGACCGACCGTCCCGGCATTCCTATAGTCCAACCACGAAATTTTCTTAGAACCCAAAAATGTTCTGATAACAAAAGCTATGTGC